AAAAAAAAAAAAAAAAGAAGTGAACATGTGTTGTTTTATTGTTTCACGAGGTGAAAACAGTAATGCTCTCCTACCCACGACGGACACATATTAATATGTCCACCGTTTATGTCATGCACACATTAGTAATGTATTTTTTTGAACATATTAACATCACCAATATATACATGCCTCACAAGTGATAGACATATTAACATGTGCCCACCATGAGTAGGGGAGCATTACTCGAAAACTAAAACTCAAAACGATTTTATTTATTTTTAAAATTGACTCACTTTATTCATTAAATCAGTGTAATCTAATAACTCACTTTTAACTTACTAAAGGTATATAATCAATAATTATAAATGTATTAAATTCTGCATAATTTTATATCTGATCATATTGTTAATATATATATTTTAAATATATTTTAAATACTATATCATACAAATTATGTATCATGATAACAAAAAGGTTTTAATACAATTCACATGTGTATAGAAAATGCTATATATAGGCTAATGATATTCTTGATAGCTCTTAAAATGTTAACAGTACTTATATTATGTGCTCACCTCAGTTTCTTCCTCTAGGAAATCTACAAAATTCCCATAACATTTTTTGGCATCCTTGTGGACAACATCCAAAAGGCTCGATTCTCCATTTAATTTAAGACCATCTATTAGGATTTTAAACGACCGTCTATCTGGGTCGCACGAGAATGATTTCATCAAGTAAAAGCACTCCATCGCCAATCCAGTGAGATTTAAATCCATCAAACTTTCCAGCAATGCATTAAAGCCCTCAAGATCTGCTGCATTTATATTGTCTTCGCCTTTTAGAGCACGGATAACCAACCCCACGTTCTCGAGAAATCCATTGCGCCCCAAAACTGTAACCAATTCAGCATAGAGCAACAACTGAGGCTTATACCAGTCCTCTTTCCGGACATCCTCAAAAACCTACACCAGACAACAGAAGATTAGACCATAAGAAATGACAAACAAAACAAGCAAAGAGAAGCATATGAGCAGCTTGAATGTCTCCAATAATAAGAATGAAATCGAACATAGAAGTAGGAGACATTATTATCAGGCATAGCAGACACCACAATGCATCCTTCACTTTTAGTTCTTTATTATCCACAAAATTGATGCAAGACGAAGCTCCTATTTTTTCTCAATTTTTGTACTATATATGGACTTCAGTCTTAACTTTCTGTAGCAATTGAAGCAAATCAAGGACTCAGATTAAACTTCAGCGTCCACCGATCCAATAATATAATTTAGCCCCTAATCATCTGATGGAATTAAAGTACTACGTTCAGATGTACACAGATCGTGATGTCCAAAAAATTTGTAATTTAATGCCCAAAATTTAAATATATAAACTAATAAATAAGGGATGTAAACATCTTCCCAAACATGATTACAACAAATTACAAACACAGACGAAAGATAAGTTCACATACTATATAACTATTTTATCACTTTTGCTCACTGCTCTCGTTCATGTGGTTTTACGAGAAAAGTACTCCACATACGAGCACATTTTATTGGAACGATTAGATTAAGGAGTGGGTATATCACCATAGCAACAATTGCTTTAACTCTTAAAGAAACTCTAATTCATAGACCATTAACAGATTGAATGAGTAGACAAATTAAAGCTGAATGGTGGAATTCAACAAACAAGAGATGAATAGCACACACACCTGGACTGCCAGAAGACATTGATTCTGGCGAAGGAGTTCACGAAGAACAGCAATCATATCAAACTTCAATAAACGTCTGAATTTGTCATCAAATACTTGCTCCAAAGATCTCTCAGAGTGTATGGCAGCCCGCTTCAATGCTTGAACAGTCTGAATAGCCTCGATGCTGAGATTTCTCCCCTTCTGTAGGGGTTTTCTGTTCTTGCTTCTATCTCTCATCACAATGGTCGTCATCACCCTGGTCCCACTTTTCTGGGAGCTGGGCCTTACACGAGTCGTTAGTTTCACTTGCTCCCGGTGGAGTACTCCTCTTGTGCGCATTTCAATCGCATGAGTAAAACAGGCCATTCAGGGAAATCCTCTTCAAACTTCTCCCTTAGCAAGATACCAATTCACTCCAATTTTGTCGGAAGGGAAGACGTCTCTGTGGCCATTTGTTGTGACACCGGAAAATATCATCTCGCCAGTGACATTCTATCCTCTTCCTCTCTATCACAATCTGCAACTCAATTTACTTGAGATCCCTGCTTCTACAGTAAATAAATACTAAGAGGAAAATACACATTAAGGGCTGCAAACAATTATCTATACATTTCCACATAACTGGACAGTTCAGAACACGAGTCTCTCGAAAGGCACAGTATTAGGCACGACAAGAACGCTCGACAATGATTCCTTACCGGCTGTCGGCGGACGGAAATTGACAGACGAGCAGGATCCAGTTTGATCAATTTACAAAACCCTCGAGAATTCCAGTACATTGTCAGCAATAATTTACAATACACAAATCCGACTTCAATTAAATTCTAAGAACGTGATTGATTGGAATAAAAACAACAACTGGTAATCGGAGAATTTATTGCCTTAATTCACATGGAATTAAGAATACCCACCCTCATCCATTTAAATTGTACCCGACTATTTTAATCAAAGAACCTCCGAAAACTAGCAGCAAAGAACAATAACCACTGAAAATCATAGACCTTGATAATTACACACATAACTTTGCAACAATCGTGTAAGTTCTCATACCGGTAACTATGTAATTAAACACATAACTATGCGATAAAGATGCAATTATGTGATATACATAACTGTACGGAGCGGCGAGGGCTGCTGGCCAGTGGCCGAAGAACGACGGTCGAAGACGGTTGTTGACTGGAGAATGGCGGAGAATGAGTAGTTTATCTGTGGCTTTGTGGATTAGGTGATCTAGGTTGAGATGAAGAGTGAGCAGTTGAGCCGTGGAACGGATAATACACCACTAGGACTGTAAACGAGCCCAACCGAGCTCGAGTTCGAGACCTTAATGAGCGGCTCGTTAGATAAACGAATCTGAAGTCGAGCTCGAGCTTAAACTCGTTAAGACCTCGAGATTTAGTGCTTGTTTGGGAGCACTTTTGAAAAAGTTCATTTAAATATGAACTTATCTAAAATGCACTTTTCCAAAAGTCTCAATCATTTACTTCTACAGAATGGACTTTTTGGAGAAACAACTAATCCATAAGTCAATTCTTAATTTAGCACCAAACATAAATATTTATCCAAATGGACTTTTTCATCCAAAAGTCTATCTGAAAAGTGTTTCCAAACAAGCTCTTAATAAGTCGATCTCAAACATTAACGAGCCAAACTATAAAAGAAATTATAAAAATTCTATTTTCGAGCCTTAACGAGTCTTATCGAGTCGAGCCGGCTCGTTAAAGCTTCGAACTCGAGCCTTAACGAGCCGAGCTCGAGCCGTGTCGAGCCAAACTCGTTTAATTTAACAACACTAAATACCACCGACTAACCGTAATTATTCCGTCAAGATTTGTAACGTTAGATCAACTATCCAAAACGATTACGTGATGATCTACCGGTTAAAAATCTCGACGAAATGGTTTCGCTACGGACTGTAGCATTTCCCTAAAGTAAAAGTTGACTGACTAATTAGCAGCACGCGTAAATTTTGTTTCATATAGTGGAGAATTTACCTGGGGCAATTTTTTTCAAAAGAAAAGTGAAGATGTGATGATTTATTGTTTGATTTTGTGAAAAGCAGGCTGTTTTTCTTTAGTACATTCATGATTATATATAAATTTATTCAGCTTGTGGAATAATTTTTTGAATTAAAAATCAATTCAAATTTAATTCAATCTAAAAAATTTTATTATTATCAATATAATTAAATGATATCAACTATTCATGGTCACACATCTTATACTTTTAATTCACTTCATCCACTTACATAATTTTAACTACCTATCATTTTTATTAATTTTTTTCTACTTTTTTCATCTCATCAACTTACTTTACATTTTATATATTATTTTAATACAAATTTAAAGTCGTATTCAAATTAAAACTCAATCCGATTTTATTTATTTTCAAAAATATTGACTCACTTTATCCATTAAATAATCTAATAACTCACTTTTAACTTACTAAAGATATATAACAATAATTATAAATGTATAATATTTTGCATAATTTTATATTTGATCATATTGTTAATATATACTTGTATACTACATCATATAAATTATTTATCATGATAACTATACATAAATTTATTATTATTTTTTTTACAAACTAAGTCCCCAACCTACCATCCTATTGGCATCTAATGACTTTTAGAGCAATATTGGTAAATGGTAAGTAAAATAATGTTATTTTTAATTCTGTTCCACTTTGATTTTCATATAAAGTTGGTCAAATTAATTGTTTAAATTAGTCAGATAGTGACACTAATTTATCATGTTAGGTTTGAAAGACGATAATATTTGAGACCAAAATCAGATAATGTTGATACTTTTCCAGATGCTATAATTTTTTCAACCCAAAATAATTAAATTACAACTATCATTTCCATAATTTATTTAAAACCCAAATATACAATATAAACTTATATGTATTACTAATTAACCAATTAAATAATCAATGGAACTTCACTTTATATATAAGACTAACAATACTGCTATTGTTTGAAAAGCTCTACTCGTAAAATCATATTTTATGAACATATATGTATATTATTATATTGAAATGTCGTAATTTAAATTTAAAATAGCATAAAAGAGTATCGTTTTTTTTTATAAATACAATAACTATTTTTTTTCTTATTGACTAACACCATTAAATTATTTTGTGTATAAATGAATGCCAAATAAGGAATAATTAATGTTCCACAAATAGTTGTACCAAAAAAAAAA